TCACAAGTTCATCGTTGATGTCACAATCTTCAGTTACTGGTTTGAAGTGTTACTGTAGCATAAACCAGTGAGCAGTCTGTGGATATAATACACATTCTACTGTTGAAAAATGAACTTGTCTGTGTTTTCTGACAGAGATTAAATTATCAATATGCACTGATAAATGTGTGTTTGTAAAGATTATAATGTTATGAGAGAAAAATGTATTTGTTTGCTTTGATGGGGGTTTTTTTTCCGGAAAATGCATTTTACATCTAAACCACTATTAAGATAAAACGCTAAATATTAGATCTTAATTTATGATTTGCTTCTGTCGCAGGTGCACGCACACACACTCTTGTTCTCAAGCCTCCATCGACCCAAACTTCAGGCTCCACATGTCTGTGATTTCCTGCCACATGAAGTAGAAATAATTGAATTTCTCTGTAATAAAAAAACGCCGTTATATTGTTATTTCAATATACTGTAGTTAGTTAAATCTGCATCAGCAAGTAGCTGGTGACATTAGAAACCTGGTGAACAAGTTTTATGTACATATTGGGGGGACGATAGATTAAAAACATCTGATGCAAAGCTTAAAGAAGCCAAATATGTCTTAGCAATCTGTTGTAGAGAGAATATGAGACCTTGTCATTTGTGGTGTAAATAGTCCAAGTGTGCATGAAGTTCAGAATTTGTTTTGTGTACCATCTGTCTTCTATTGAGCTTTGAGACTGCAGAAATTGAATATTGGAAGCCCCCCTTCCCCTTCAAGCACGAACAGCAGCAGCTAGGAGATACATAATGACAATACCTCTGAAAATGTGCACCTCTTGTATCCTCATATCTTCTTCCAGCTTTGAAAGACTAAGTGTAGCTAAGTGCAGAGTGAAATCCCAACAATCCCTCTGTAGGACTGCTGTGTGCAGTGTAGTATTCATAACATAGCAGGAAAACTGCATGATGGAAATTTATTGTTTTAATGTACCGGTAAAACTCATTTTCCTTCCTCTCTTCCTTCCTCTGGCCTCTCTCTCTCTGGTCTAACTGAACAGTGTTCATTGTATCCACGGTATCAGATAATAAGCACTGATTCACACCTCACAACGAGCTGTTTCCTGTTTGGATTTGAGTCAAGAAGCTCTTTAATAAAGTCTGGATAACAGGAAGTAGGCTAGTATATATTGTAAAACCTGCAGGTGGCAGACTGAATGCAGTTAGGTGCTGCAGCCACATGGCAAGAACTGGTACTGCAATAACAACGTCTCAATTTGCTCACAGACAACACAAACCTGTCTGAATTTGTAATTTACAAACATAACAATAATAATATTCACTGCAATAATGTGCAAAAGTCTTAAGCCACCTCTCATTGCTTTGTATTTTGCTTGCAACGAGTCAGACTTTCTTGCATTTTTAAAGTCCTTTTGAGCAATAGTTCTCAAGGTTTTCTTAAGACATTTGTCTGCTTTTCACTCATTTTTAGTCCATTCCTTACACCTTACTCCTCGACCCATGAATCACTCAAACATTAAAAAAAGAACCTAAATTGGTACCGTTTCTACACATATCAGACAACTTAACAAAGAATTGATTGTAAATTATATCCTTAAGCATTTTGTGTTGTTGTGCAGATGTGCAAAACACATCATTCCTGTTTCTTTAGTTGAATATGTGAAAAATGTCAAAGATAATGCAGTTGGGCATGGATAAAAATAGCATTTTAGCCGAAAACTTGTGTTGCCTTAAAAAAATGGACAAGTGGGAGGACAAAAGAAAAAGTGGCAGGGCCAAAACAAACCCAGAGAAACAAAAATACTTCCGATGAAAAGTAACTGAAAGTCATGTCTTAAGAAATAGGAAAAAAGTCCAGCAAAGACCTGACACAGGACATGAGAGGTAGCAGCATCACCAGAAATGCTCTCAGCGGAAGGTTAAGAATACATTCTTAATGAATATATAATTATTCAAGAACTGGACTGTCTGGAGTGATTCCTCCAGACTTGAAAGGTTTGAGTCGGCAGAGAAAAACTATTTAAGCCATAACAACCCAAATAATACACAAAACCCCCCACTCAGATTCATTTAAACAACTTTTATTTATTAAGTTTTTACAAATAAAGTAACAAATTTATTGTATTGTAGCGCAAAGCGCAAAGTTTTGTTTTTAATAAGAAGCTTGAACACTCTATACTTAGTGCAAAACATACCATTAAAGGCTGTCGATGACTCCTTACATGTATTTATTTATTTTTTGTTATTCTCTTTCATTCTTCCATATTTGTTTACTTAAAATCCGACCACGTTTGAACAACGTCAACCACGATACAGAAAAAGGAAAGCAATGAATTAAATTAGGAGCTGGTAGAGACAGTAAAACGGCACATAAAACAAGTGAGAATTCAAAAAAACAAAATGTGAGAGTGGAGAGAGACAAGAAACAAAATCGACATATTTTCAGCAACGTTCACAGAAACTGTTGCTGTTTTCAAGACATCATTTCACAGGAGCAAGCTACATAAAACAGCGAGGAGTTGCATGTATCTGTGACTGTGGCTTTGTGTGTGTGTGTGTGCGCGCTGAAAGGCAGAATCTCTTTTATTGTTGTTTTTCTCTCTCTTTTGTTTGTTTTTTACATGTGGGCACTTCTACAGTGAAAAGCATAAAGGGTAAGCGAGTCCTGAAGAGGCGAAAACTGGAAAACACATCAACAGGAAACTGATTCTAATGCAAGCGAGTTCAAACTATTGCTACACTGTGCATGCCTCTCCTGAAACACACAATCCTACTTTTCCACTTTAACTCGAGGAAACTTCACAATAAGAGTGCCTGTGCTGGAAAACTTTCGAGCCTTTCACAGTAAAATTCCTCCACGACAACTCCAAAACTTCACAATAACTGCACCCACTTCCAGCAGGGGCATAGCCGTCAAAACCTACCGTAATCTCAGTTTGATATTGATATTATTAAAGTGACAGTTTTAATATTGCATGCAAGGGCATTGCAGCGCAGCAGGTATTCCTTTTATTGTAATCATTGCGTAACAGAGAGACAGTAAAATATGACCAAACCTCAAATCTGCAGCTGCAAAGTGCAGATCCAGGATGATACCTGGCAAATTAAACAGCTCCAGTGAATTAAAGCAGGTAACTACGCCACTTTTTTCCTCCACTGACAAAAAAAAAATAAAATCAAATGGCACTGAGTTTGTGGCATCATTAAAGGTCTGACAGAATGCTTATATTGAGAACTCAGAAGCAAAGTGGCTCAATGACTATTCACAGCTTCAACCAAACTTGCCAAGTAGTAAAAAAAACGTCGCGTTATTTTTCTCAAGGAATATAACGAAAAAAGATCTATGCTCTTTTGCACAAACTTTACAAAGTAACTTACACACAATCTGGCAAAAAGCAATGGAAAGATGCAAAGCTTTGAAGTTTGTACCAACTGTTTAATTTGTGTTACAGGTTAAAAAAAAAACAAAAAACAGTAGAGTGTGCCAGATGCTTTGCACGTACTCCCTTAAATCCATCAATCATCATGACTGCCATCATCTCTGTCATACCTTCACTCAAAAACTCGTTAAAGCTGACTTTTATTTGTTTGTTTTTCAATGTCTGTAAAGACAGCTGACAACTGTGCAGCCTTGTTAATATTTTTCCTCATAAAAAATGGCATCGTTGGTTATAAGACCACTGCAGAATTTTTATGGGTCCTGACAAAGTACTGCCTTGTTTTTCTTTATTCCTTTCATTCTTCCAGCTAGTTACTTCCAACTAGTTTAAAATGTATCAGAAAAAGATGATGTCACAGAGTATCTATATGCATCAACCATGTTTTTGGCTACATTTTTTTTAAAGTTGCATTTTCAAGTGTTAGGTTGCTGCTTATTTAGATATACCGAACCTTTTTTAGACTCAGTTTGACTAATGCATCTAATGCATGACCGGATCACAAGATTACAGCTGTTGTCTGAAAGTGTCCAGCTGACTGCTTGGATACTTCCTGTATATGTGACTTCTGCTAGATAGTTAAAGACTAGCAAACAAACACAGATATTTCATTTGTGACTTGCAAAGGAGGCAGAACAATAGGAAAAAGGACCTATACTGTACATCTTGCACTGGTGACATGCTTTCCTCTGAAGTCCTTGAGGGGGATGCATCAGGTCCCAACGATATTTACACTTCAAAAGAAGTGGCCTGATGCACTGCAGACTACCTCAGCCTATCACAGTGTGCCTTGAGCCTATCACAGTGTGCCTTGGTGGTCCTTTTTATATTTAGTGCCACATCCAGATGTGATCTGATCCCTCCAGATACATTTTAACGCCAAGTATAAACAGATTTCAGACATACCGAAACAGGGCCATTAGCCTGCACTTCTCACAAGATTTCAGTAAACCCAAATTATTCTGACAGTAGAGTGCGACATCATGGCCTATATCACATTCCTGGTTAGCTCTGATGGTCTCGGAGTTTCAAATCCTGACAGAAAGCTAAAACGAGTCTTTAATATCAGCTGATCTCACGTTAAAAAGAACATTATGTCACTGTACCACGGCATGCTCTCCCCGCAAGTATGCTGCACTCGGGTCAAAGTACAGAGTGGTCCAAGCTTCGAATACAATCTTCAATAAACTCCCTCCTTAAAACTGAAGAAAAAAATAATAATATACAGCAATAGAAACAACACTGATAACAAACGGTTGCCTTTCTCCGTCTTTGGACGTCAATCTCAACCTTCGTTCAAACGGCAGCAGAGCATTTCACTCCAAATTTCCCCATTTTGCAGAAAATACACTCAGGAGGAATCATCACAAGCCGGCCTAAACGTGCGCGCACATATACACTGCAGGCCTCATCCGCTAAACTTCACAGCAACAACCTTATATCCTCCACACATTCTGTTCAATGTGCTCACTTTAACCTCCAATGGAGAAGCAACAGGAAGGAAGCAAGGCACTAGTTTAATACCTCCAGCCATCACTAGAGGCTCTAGAGGGGTCAGGGGTAGCGAAGACAAGCGAAAATAAAAGACAGGGATTTTTTTTTCAAGTACATTAAAAATGGACACCATTGGTTTTTATACATTCACATTCATCTAACAAAACCAGGGGAGAAAGGGAAGAGGAGGGCTATTTAAAGTGTCTGATAGACAAGTACTGTATTAAGAAAAAAATAGCTAGCTTTACTTTATTATCTAAATATCGACTATCCTGGCGTTCACGCCGGTTTGTCTTTATACTCAGGTCAGTTTCGGCTTTCAATTCACCCATTTATAGAGATGACCTGAAAAAACAGATTGATTAGTTGTTGGTAAGGCATTGGTTTGGAAGTGTGTCCTCAGTAAACTGACAGAAGGACGCTTATTGAAAAAAAGAGAAAGAGAGAGAGGGGTTACCGATCTCCAAAAATTCGTTTGTGGAAAGCTGTGAATTGAAAGCGAAAGGACCCCAAAAAACTATTCTAAATATGCTTTTTTTTTGTGTGTTTTTAAATTCACCCTAAAACTAATGTTGTCCAACAACATTTGCTAATAACAAACAACAATAATCACAGTGTCTCCACATCATACAGCGATGTGCACATATAACAGGTCCATTGACAGAACACGGTTTTGTTTTTTGTTTCTTTTTAAATAGAACAATCATTAACAACAATAATTATGACAATAATGTACATTGCATTTCAACCCAGATATTGAAACCGACCTAATTATGACACTAAGAACTGAGGCACGGCCCATGAGTCTGACAGCTGCTACACCTCCAACTACGCGTGAGTGTATTTACATGAGCCTGTGAATGACTGTATGCGGCTTTGTGTATCTATATGAATGTCATAAGAGTTGCGTGGGTGTGTGAATGTGTATGCGTCCGATTGCTAGCTGGGGTGGCGGTAGGTGGGTGGGGCAGGGGGCAACAAGGGAACCAACCCGACGACACACACAAAAAAAATGGAATCATCGTAGCAGACATTCGAAAAAAAACAGACACAAACTATACATGGATATTATCTTGATAACAAGGTCACTTTTACACACTGAGTTCTCTTGTGTTCGGGCTTTTTTTGTCCTCTTCTAAAAGGTTTCTGCTGTTATTGCTTCAAATTGCAACAGGGAGGTGAAGAGAGAGGGACGAAAGAAGTCGTGAAGCATCTGTTCTGCCCGTTTGGGACCCCCATCGACATAAAGTGAGCTGAAACAGGAAGCAGATGCACTTCCATCTCTCTCTACCTGCTTGAATACTTTGTCACACTGAGCGGTGGGGAGGGGGGAGAAGAAGACGGCGGAGATGCTGGGCTACATCTAGTCTCGATATGTATTTGATTTAATCTTGACTCGCTTTGTGCTTTTAAAGGTTAGGAAGGCTCTCCGACTTCCAAACGACTTCCTGAAACATTCGATTAGAGTTATGCGGACTCGTCTTCTGCTCTCAGCTCACCCTTCTATCTGCTGCCATTTGCATCTCCTCCTGTAATCCTTTGATTTAAGGATGCTAACTGCTGTCAGAAACACTGATGATTTTGATTCCTAACACTAAGCAACAATATCGGTTAATGTGAGGACTATGCAATGCAATGCTCACCCCCAATAGAAGAAATGCATATTTGCACGTTTTTTTGTTGGGATTTCTAGCAGAGACTGATAAACATGGATAGCAGAGGCCTTAAAATCAGTACCAGCAGGAACTGATGAGAAGGTACTGCACGGACACAAAGGCTCAAGTTGGATTTTGTAAAAGCTGGCTACCACATTCTTCCTCCTCCTGAGCCTGATGTAATGTCTTCTGTCTAGTAAGCACGACTCACTAACCCATATTATGTAAAGATATGTTAACTCATGTCAGAGCGTGAAATCCAACAAGTGTAAACCAGCTATTAGAGCAAACATGCAGACAGTTATTGACAGCAAGCCCACACACCCTGTCAGAACCTCTTTGGCCTTTTATCATTGTACTCTGAGTCTTTTTCTTTTGCTACAAGCCCACAGCAGAAAGGCTGCACTTCTTTTCTTTGAAGTGCAGCCTGAAGTGGCTTCTCATGCACACTTTAATTCCTACCCCCGTCTCAACCCCTCCTCTCCCAACAAAAGAAATAAAATCAATCACACTTTCTAGTCAATCCAGCGATGAACACTCCACTTCACACCAGTCCTCTCAGGCCGTGATTTAAACCGGCCTCGACTCTGAGCCCTACGTGGTCCTCAAGTTGGGTCCTCCCGGGTTACTGACTGATTTCTGCAGGGTATTGGTCACATGGAAAGCTTGGAGTGGCCCCTGGCCTGGAATCTGGCCCTGTGGCGTGGGGTAGGGACCCAGGGGTTGGGAGGTACTGACCAGCAGAGGCTGTGTTGGTGCTTGGTGTGGGGTGGACAGGCTGTGAGCCGGACCAGACCATTGTGCACTATAGGCAGCAGTTGGGGTGTAGTGGATGAACTGGGGAAGCTGGGGTTGGGGTGGAGTGGAGGAGGCAGGAGGTTGGCATAAAGAGCCCTTTCGGGCAGCCAGAGAGGTAGCGGTGCTGGAGTTTGTTGGGATGTGGGCTGAACCACCTATGCTGCTGGGACACAGCTGGCTGGGAGCGGAGTACTTCCTGCCCAGACTGGCTGACTGGATAACCTGTAGGGGAGGAGAAACGTCATTCAAAATTCTAAATTAAGCATTTTTCTCTTAAATAATTTGATTCTAGTTCCCTGTGCTAGGTAAAGATGTCTTTCAAGGAGTTAAAATTAATTATTAACCAAGCCTGCTTAAAATGTAAGTTAAAAAAACCGCCCCAAAATACAGCCATGCGACATTTATCTTAGGTAAACAGACTGTGTTATTCTCTGCACCACCAACACAGCAGATTTGCTTCATGTCAGGTGGAATTTAATAATTAAATAACCAAAACATTTTTGTAGGAATTTGCATGTCTGAAAAGTAAAAAGTATCAATTTGAAAAATCAATATCACATTGTAATATAATAACTTGTAAATTTTATTGTGTTTTTAAATGGCACATGATGCAAAATAATGCATTTTAATTAAACACCAAAAGATCAGTTGTTAAGGGAATACAATAGCACATCATCCAGAAATCTGGATGTAGTAAAGCAGGCAGGGATCAAACAGCTTTTTGTGTTTTTTCTAAGAGTTTGGTGCAGAAATGATGTGATGTGGTGTTTTTAATATTAACCTCATAGCTGTGTCCCTGCACCGGAGCCTGCTGCAGCTGTTTGGCACTCCTCTTACCCTGAAAAAGTTCAATATTTAATTTACTGTGCAAACATAATGATGTAATATATAATTAATCACCAAAAACTGCTTCCATGTCCACTGATAACAGAAAAAATATTTATCATGTTTATGACCTTTCTCTTAAGATTAACACTGCAGGGTTTTTTATTAATAGCACAAAGTTATGGCTAACACTTTTTGTATACATCCAAAAGGCCTTGGATCAGGTTTCTTCAACAGATCAAACACATTTGCATTTCTAAAAAGGAGGTTTTAGAGTTTAAGCTCTTTCCTCTCTGTCTTCATATCTAGTGAACTAACTATGGGACCTGCTGAGTCACTGATAAAATATATTTTTCTTTGATATGAAAACTCTTGCTGTTTTTTAAAATATACATTCAAAAACAGCACTAAACCTGTGAGAGGTTCATGGCATCTCTGGCCCAGTTGTCCACCAGTTTATGAAGGTCATCGGTGAAGGTTCCTTTCCTCTGGTGTGGGGCTGGCATGTTGGGGGCCAGATACTGAGAACCCCCCTGGCTTTGACCCAAACCACCTGAACCGCTCACTGCATTGGTGCTATTAGTCCCTGAGAGTCAAGACAGACACAAGAGAGGAGGGAAAAGAGCAAATAGTGTCAGATAATGTTTAAAAGGTGAGGCAAAGCTGATGTTATCTGGATGATTGTGATTGGCGGCAGGCAGCTCTGTCTTAACCACAAAGGGCAGACAGAGGTTGGTCAGGTCAGGTTTAGGGCAGCTCAGCATGTCGACATGGTCACAGAACTGCATTGTTTAGTTTTAATGATGGAGATCATGATGATAAACAGGAATAAGAGACAACTTATGATAGCAGAGGAAGGGCACTTTGGCAGTTAGGATAAACGCCTAACCCTTTATAGTATATATATATATATATATCTTATTTATAACAAGGAATCAGATAACACTTGACAGCCTGTAGAGCAACAGTCTCATTCAAAATGCCCCTGCAGTGACCCTGTGCACCTCTTAACTCTGAATACATTTCCCAGACACTAGATGGTGCTCAACCTCTGTATCAGGAAGTATTATGGGTTTTTTTTTTCACCCACTACCAAACTTAATGCAGACTAAACTCCAAAAAAAGCACACACTGCAGGCTGGCTTTCTTGGCATCTGTGTGTTAAAGAGCACACAGACTTCAGACACCAGAACCTTCCCCACACCGTGCTCAATGATGGGGTAATGACAGGGTTGGTCAATCAGTCCAATAGGAAACCACCAAACACTGGCCTGTGAAATAAGCTCTTTGCTACAAGACGCTGCACACTCTGCTGCTTCAAACAACAGTTTCAAGTCCCTTAATTCTGGATCCCTTATACTGCAGACAAGTCTTTGAGAATACAGGTTTATCTTTTGTAAATATGCAATTTTTATAAATAATTTAGGTCTGTGGAAGAGAAGATAAAGATTCATTTATAAATGCTACGTGGAAAACCATAAAGATATGTAAAGCATATACACATACTGCAGATAGATCATGTTTTCTTATGTTTTAAACATCCCCATAACTGCACATTAGCCTTATAATCACACGAAGCTGATGCACTTCCTTTGCATACAAGATCATCCCAAAGCCATGTCAGCAGAATGAGCATGGGCGTTAAATATTTACATGATTTGTTCATATCAGATATTAAATGAGAACAGGCAGAATGTGCAAGGATTGTCAAGGATTATACAGTTGGTCTGACAAAAATAAATAAATAAATCAATAAATAGAAATAAACTGTCATGTCATGCTAAACAAAATGGAGGAAAATAAGAATAAGGAGACGCTGAGTCATGAATGACTGCAGCAGCATGGGATTCTGGTCTATGTAGTCCAAGCCAAAAGCCATGGTGAAGGCTGAGAGGAACGGGAGGGGCAGCTTGTATGTGTTAGTGTTTGGCACATTATATGTGTGTGTGAGAGAGAGAGGGAGAGCTTGCAGGTGCATGCGCTGTCAGTTTAGATCTGTTAAGGCTACACACTTCAGTTATTTCAGCCCTCAAACTGGACTTTCCCCGAAACGTCATCATCGAAACTGCAAAGCTCGTCTTAGACGCAGCAGCTGAAATAACTGAAGTTAACGGATCTCAAATCTGGCAGAGGGTCGGAGCTGTAACCGACAGGGCGTCAGGAGGCGGGAGGAAGCGTGGGAGAGCAAGTGCAAGGATGGAGGAGTTGGTATGGATGGAGGGAGGGAGGAAAGACCAAAAAGAGAGATAGTTACTACAGAGCTGGTTGCAGGGGCAGACTTTTTTCACCATCTTCCCTGTGCGGCCGGAAGACAACAATTGGAGGGATCGGGAGAGAGTCAGAGTTAAGCCCCGCCCACAACACACAACAACCAAACACAATGCACATTGTGACAGGTATAAGCATAATAATGTGACCTTGAAGCAAACAAGACTTTGGTGTTGAGCTGCCCAGGAACATCTTAAAAACCTGTCACACAATGTAACGTGACCCCAGAAACACAAAGCAAATAGTGGAGGAGACTTTGCCCCTGATTATTATTATTATTATTATTTTTTAATGTACAACCACACAAATGAGTAAAGCATTTTCTGACAATGGTAAGATACACAGACAATTTTCTGCAGATATGCAGACCTCAGTCGACAGTTACTTTTAGCCCAGAGGTGAACATATTATTTAACCAAAGCTCTTGACGTTGCTTTACTTCCAATTTAATAACAATATCACACCACCCAGATTTGCCTTTGCACACAGCCGCATGTGCCATAAATGTGTACTGTGGCTTTAAGATGCTTATGGGCAAACCAAAACCTGGTTTCACATGTGATTCTGATACTCTCTGCAGTTCACAGGGCCTTACCACACCTGGGTCAAATATTGCAATCGACTATGATTTTCAGACTTTTATAAACAGGGTGGGATTTGTGCAAAAAAGGATTCTGGTTTATAGAATTATTATGAACTTTAATATAACCACAGCTTGTAATGTAGTGTATTTTTATTAAATTAACGTGCAAAATTCTCAGCATCACGTTTGTGCTTTCAGTCACAATCCAATCAATCCTAATGATACAAGCAAGACTCAAAAAAAGACTTAATATGAAATAAGCTAAAAGATTACTGTCAGTTTAAAGAATTGTTAGGCTGAATAAATATTCTGCTGCAGTACAATCCTACGTAACTTAGACAACAGCCTGCTTTAATGACTGACTTAGAGCAGATCTTTTTACACAGGAGTGCACCTACTACTTTCTGTCAGCCTATCATAGCAGCTGCACCACCGCATGTGAGTAACGTCTGCAGGATGTCTCAGACAGCGGCCCCATACATAGCTGCAGTTCAACAAGATGAATGAACATGCGGTGCTTTTGGCTCAATGAAAAGCCCGCCCCATGCAGTGAAATTTCTACTAAAAAAGAGTGAAATCAGCTCCCAATTAGACTGAAGTTCGTGCTGTAGACTGTTTCAAAGTGCAGCGATAAAAATGAGAGGGACGCATAAAATCACACCCTGATTATAAGCAAGAATTTGAACCCACTTTTTAAAACTATGCTAAGGAACAAGAATAACTCGAGTCCACTAAGACCCAGGTATGCCTCTCTCCACTCCTGCTGATGCAGCGACTTGGGGACGGCTGAGCGGGCGGTGAGGACACCGAGTGAGGAAAGGAAAGAAGGAAGGGAGAGACAGGGTTTGAGCTGCAGAGGGTTCAGAAGCATTCAGAAACGTCCCTTAAGCACAAAACATTTGAGCATTACAGATTAAGGTTTAATAGAAACACTTTATTAAGAGTAAAATAGAAATCAAAGCTTTGAAGTGTGCTTAATTGATGTAAAAACAAACTGCTTATTTAAAAAAAATTCAAAATGCATGAAAGAAAAGCTAAAATAATCAACATGTCCGTCCTTCACTATTTGGAAATAAGGGTTAGAAATGGAAGAAGTCAGGATTTGAAATTAATACCAGCAGAAAAACAAAACGGCCTCATCTGTCTCTAATTTATTAGAACCGAAGATGAAATCAAGTGGAGGGAGAATGTTTGTAATGATTATTGTTAGGATAGAAGCTTATTTGAGCTTGAATAACGTCACAAAGAACATTAGTTACAGGGTTAAGTATAAATGTACAGGATTGTCCAGCTGTTTGTAAAATCCATGTCAATTTTAGCTGCTGTATTCACTAGCTTTCCCTTTAAAGCCCCAATCATGAAATAATCGCCAGAAAATTCAAACTTTGTGAAAATGAAGTGTTTAGTGAACTTTTTGAGGGAATTAAACGATGTATAAATTATGAGTTTTAATTTGTATCATATTTGCTACATCATCCTTTAAAGTTAATCGTGCAGTTTATTTCTACATCATCACACTGATGATCTAGAAGACTCAAAAACTGACAAAAACTTGTAAACATGTATCAAATATGATACACTTGACTTTAAAGGGTCAAATTCAAATGAAGCCGTCATCCTTAAGTTTTTCCTCCTAAATTCTCGGAAAAACGAACCAACTGCTATCATGCAGCAAACTTTATCGCATACATATGTTTGGTCAATCGGCTCTTCTGTTGTATTTGCGACGGAGCAGCGGCAGTAGAAGCTAGAAGTAGCTCTAAAATTAATGTCTGCAGTATTAATCTGCAACATATTGTCATCAATCAAGCAGGACTGATAAGGGCTTTGACCAGGAGCCGTCTAATGAAACTTAGTTCCCTGCTAATGCTGTCAATTTCTGATTCATTGGATTTTTAGATTTTTATGACCCAGAGCCACAGTACCTGATTTTTGATTAGAGACATGGGCTTGTTTAAAAATGAAAAAAGCCTCAGTGTCACTAACTCAGTGTCTGTTTTGATCATTTCAGGGCCTTCATACTGCATCTTCTGTCATTTTCAGTCATTTTGACCTTATTATAGTAAAACGATTCTTATTTCCTGTAGCCAAAAGGGCACAAGGAAGTTAAAAAAATAACATTTTTGGCAAGGAAGACAAAGAAAGAAACAAGATTACAAATGAAGAAATAGTATGTAAAGATGACTGCCGCAAGATCTGGGTGTGAAGAACTATCACTGTCTGAACATTTTGCGTCCTGCAGTAAGATCTTATATTGTTTACTTTTTTTATGCACCTACAACCTTTTTTAAGGTAAAAATGTTGTTTCTGCTTGTCCGTTTAACTAAAATACTCAGGTTTCAACTTCTGAAATCACAAAGTTTGATGTTCATGTCTACTCAACTGACTTTGCGTGTTTTTTTTTTTTTTAATTTAACAGATTTCTGCAGAGCACTGATGATATCAGAAGGAGCGGGTCTTCCTCCACCAAAGAAGAAAACCCACAGGAGAGGATGACTGTGACTCGACGGATATATGGGGGGAAAAAAATTAAACAAAAGTAAGTAAAGATAAAAGAGAAGAGCAAAGAAATAGAGCGTTACACACAAAGAGCCAAGCAGGGCGTACTCAGAAAGCGCGTCCTCCTGCCGCCAGGCTTGAAGGCCAAACGCTCCGAACCCCAGCTGAACTTTACACAGCCTGAAGAGAGGGAGGAGGGAAAGAAAGGGAGGAGATGAGGAAAGTACGGAGAAGAGAGAGGCGAAGGGGAGGAGAAATGAGAAGAAAGGAGAGCGATAAAACCGAAGAGAGAAAATTGAGAAAAGACACGATAAGAAGAAGGAAGAGAAGGAAAAGATGAAAAGAGACACAGTTGAAGAATACACAGAAAGGACACTGAGTTAGCCCTCACAGTTTTTTTTTCTCTCAACAAAGAACAACAGAAAGAGATGGGAGATCTTGTTGTGAGTGAGTGAAGACAAACCAACAGCATGCATTTGTCTTAATCTGCATGCGAAGCATACAATAAGCTGTTTGTGTGAACTTTTAATGCTGCGGAGATGCAACGAGGCCCGGGACTCTCAGCGGATGCATACCTGGGGTGGGAGCACATAGGCTGGGCACAGAGAGCGCCGCCTCGCTGGTGTAGGCTGAACACAGGTTGTCACTGGAGGGAGAGGGTTTGAGGGGCTGGAGCAGAGTGCTGCTGTTCGAATCGGCTAATCCTCCTGGGGCTAGCAGAGCCAGCTGGCCGGGGTACATAGTCGGGACGCTCTGGGCGGATAAAGTGCTGCCTGAAGATAGCAGAAGGCATGGGCAGGAGGAAGGAGCAGGCCAGGACCAATCGCAGAAAGCAGAGAGACACGCACAAACACACAAACACAAAGGTGATGGATAGTTAAAGAGACCCATTTACCCAGACATTTACAGAGACACGCCCCCACACACAACCACACAGAGAAAAACAGACGGAGAAAGCAGTCAGAAATTTTCAAGCTCCGAGCCTGATTCCACGTGCAGGTGTACACAAGCAGATAAACACACATACATACATGTGCACATGGATGCATAAACACAGAGAGGATGCAATGTTAGAGAAAGGTTTTGAACCGTCCTGGTTGTAGTGGGCTTAGGGTTCAAGATTAAGGTCGTTCAGGGTCAGTTCAACCAAATTAGAAGAACACCTTTTCATGCTCTGGTAGTGTCAGTATTTTCGAGTTTGTCTATTTTGTTAATAGAAACTAACTATTTTCACATGTGTGTGGGAAGGAAATCGTTTTTTTGAATGAACTGAGCCTTTACATGTGTTCATCTTTTCACCAAAGCCTACCTGGCTGTAATGGACTCTTGCTGCTGGTTCTGGACGATTTCGATGACTTGCTTTTGGTGGGCCGTCTCCTCCTGCCAGTCAAGGCCAAAACAGGAGGGATCACTGAAGGCGGAGGAACCTACAACGCCAAAAGGAAGAATTCTCGCATTCCGTTTTTTTGTGATGCTGCCTTAATTGCAGTTTTTTTGTTTTTTACTCGCTGGTTACCTTTCCCAGCCTGGTGAACAGACGGTCTATTTCCTCCTTCTGGCGGGATTGAAGTTCCTGAATCTCACGCATGTGCCTGGTGGGTGAAAAGTAAAATAAGATATATAGAAGTAACAAGAACGGAATCATTCTTGGAAGGAAAAGGAGGAGAAGAAAAGCGCACGAGAAGGAGAGAAGAATCAAGTTTTTCAAAGCCATTAACCTTACTAAAGAAGCAAAGGTGGACAATAAAACAAAGAACGGATGTGTGAATCTATTTTCCTCTGACACTTTAAGAAAATGAGAAAGGGATAACTCACTTCTCTCTGAGGCGAGTGACTTCCCGTTTGAAGTCCTCATCCTCAAATTCCGAGTCATTGTCACTGCTGATGTAGGAGTTATTGAAGGAGTTGTTTAGACTTGGCAGAGAGGCTTTATGGGTAGAATCTGGGGTCAAAACTTGGCCAGGATCGCTGGGTCCATTAGCAGCTTTGGCAGCAGGTGGAGGACTCTGCTCCTCAGCACGACTGACTGAGAATCTACCAACGCGGGCCTCGGGTTTAGGAGTAACCTAAAAAATTGAAAATATGAACAAAACAATAAGAGGGGGAGAGAATTAAAACTGGAAAAAAGGACACAAGACAAAAAGGAAAGGAGGCGGCAGAGAAAATAAAGTGAACGATTACCTGAAAGCGTCCTATGGTGGTGGTGGGCAGTTTGGGGGAGGGGCAAGGGGATGTTAGAGGGGAGGGGTGGTGGGATCCAACGGGAGTCTTGTGAGGGGGCCCGTCCACCACGTCTCCTGTTTTTCCTGCTCCTACCGCTTTCAGAGGCGACGAGGAGTTTTTGTGCAATGTGTTCTCTGGGCTCGAGAGAGTAGAGGATGATGAAGAAGATGAAGTGGAGGAGGTGGTGGAGGAAGACTCGGTGCAGGCCGGTCGCTGGACAGCGGGCTCTTCGATAGCCCGTGAGACCTAAGCATCGAAGAGAAACGTGGAAGAAGGCTATGAGACGGAGAAACACTTGGATCCTACTTGTCAGTTGGGATCCAGCGTATATTCATTATGCTAGCCTTACATGCAGACGGTATTCATGTGCGGTGTCTCGTGTTGAAGATCTTTTACCTTAAATCGTCCTAATTGAGTTTGAGGGGGATGAACAGGAGAGGACAAAGTTTCTTCCTCCACTGGAAAAGGAACTGAGGAACATATGATGGATACTTTAGAAATCACACAGATACAAAAATCTAACATTAGGATTTGGGTATAATCGAACATACCTGGTTGTCCAACTGAAGCCACACTAATGTGGGAGGCCTGACCGCCCACAGGAACAGTCTCTGGACTCAACGCTCTCCTTAACTGGGCATCCAAGTCCTCCAGAGGCTGCTGAGACTGAAGGTGGGCAGATAAACTGTTAGACCATGCAAGAACAAAAACCGTGCAAAAAGAGGCAAGCTTGGCCACGCAGGTTTTACTAATAGCTGTTGATTAGCAACATAAGCACAGATCAGCCAGAATCAAACATTTCAGTTGATTTTAAGATTTTATGGATTAAAGCAACACCAAACTCCAAGCTCAGCTAAACTGATTGATTGATGAAGTGCTGCTCCGCTGTGAGTGTGTGCGGGCAGGTCTTTTCTTGCTGAATATCTGGTTCGCATTTGGCTTCCTTCTATTTTGCAGCTCACTGCCTGGAAAACTAAGAATTGCATAATCAAGGCTATCTTTGTAACAGTTCATGTATGCATGATATCTTGGACTTTTTTTCAGTGCAATTATGTTTTTTAGTCTTTATTTTCTGCTTATATGGTAATTTTGCTTTCAGGGATGGAATATTTGTTTTGTTTAGGTAAGCTGGTATTCTAATAGTAAAAGGAGACTGTTGTTTCTATCAGCAGCAATTCATATTTTCAAGCAAAGCTCAACTCTGGGACCTTGCTGCTTCTTTGCACACATACACGGAAAGTTGGACATGAGGAGAGCACCAGAAAAACCTCCCATATGGAACAGACAACAGACACACTGATTAAATCAGACACAACATTAAAAAGAGCAGGTTTGCTGGAGAGGGTTTGCAGCAGTTTGCAACCTTTGGAAGGCTGAAGCAGTTTATATGGTGATTTGCCAATGATGTTACTGATGTGTAGCTGAGTCAGCTGAGCCATCGTTTGGTATGCGATGAGCTGGATTGCCCTTGTGTGTGATCTCATAGCCCACCTGAATATACCCCATGCTCCATCCTCTTTGTCAAGGATTTTGTAACACTGTTTTATAGGGTGCAATATCATTGAAGTTTATTTTAAAAAATCCTCTAGTCTAAATGAACGTTTCCAAGCAAACTGTAATTAAAATACTTCCAGTTATACCATCTGACTAAAAATGCAAACTGATTAAACTAACCTCTGGTCCAACTGGATGCTTTAACCATCCTCAAAACTTGGCAAAGCATACAAATTAGGACCAGTTAAAGTCTAAAATTTGTCACTTTTAACACCGTTCGTCACCAAAAAACATAAATAAAAAAGTCACCTAATCAGATTTCTCTCCTTCGCCAATGAACAATGTGATCCAGAAGCTGCGCAAAGCCATTCATTCTCGAGCAATTAAACTACAATTACAAAATAAATCATTAAAAACAAATCCCAAGTGAACTTCAACGACAGCAGGATTATCTTAATCAAACGAGACATGCCTCACCCAGGAGACTTACATAAGGGACGGGATGTTGTATCCGGGCAGATCAGATTGTTTTATCTCTCTATTTATTCAATGTGCTTGTCTGGTTGAAGGGAAAGTCTATTTTTAAACGGAAGCATTTACGGTCTGGCAACTGAAATCAGTTCACTATCTGTCTGTCCTGAAGTCATTGGTGCTCAAACTGCTCACTGCTGCATTTGTCTGACAAACTCTTTTAATCTGATTGGTCATTCTCTTTGACCAGTGCTCCATGTGCTTCCCAGTCTTTATCTTAAAAGTCCACAGAGACTTTTTCGTCTTCTTCTTTCAGCAGCTCCCATTATGGATCGCCTGGCATCCACTTTAGTCACACCAACTCTCTGCGTGTCCTCTCTCCTCTCTCCCTACATTCATTTCCACCTTTTCCACCCTGCCTGCGCTCTCTTCTTTCCCTCTGTTGTGCACTGTTTATTGTTCTGGATGGTTGACCCCATGTATTGAACACATACTCCTTGCAACTTCACCTTCCCACCTGTTTCCCTCTCATTCACACACGTCTTCTGTATCGTTTGTACTGATATTCACTCTTTTTCTCTCCAGCACATTCCTCCGCCTCTTCAGGCTCTCGTCTACCTGCTCCCTGCTTTCACTAAAGATCATCTCATCATCATCTGCGAACATCGTAGTCCACAGAGACTCCTGCCTTATCTCATTTGTCAACCAACCCATCTGACACTGCATTTATGTGCTTTTGACTTCTTTTTAAAGTAACACTGAAGTTAAATGACATAATTGTTTAATGTAATTATTTCATTAGATTTCTTCTTTTTTAAGTTTTACTGCCCTTGTAGGCTTTCAGGCTTTTTTTGAGTGAAACTTGAGAGATGTATCATCTCTGCAGCTTTTTTATTTTGGGTCTTTAAGTGTCTCATCTTAGTGTTTTTCAAGATTAGCTGTAATAACGCTGCTGTTTCAGAGAGATGAATCATTTTAGCGGAATTTAGAAAGGGCAGAAAAAAAGCAGAAGCACAACTTATGCACAGCACAAATTAAATCCGATGAAGCTATTGCAAAAAGACATTACAAACACACTGAGCAGGATATAAACAGTGTTGCACTGTATCAGACACATCGGTCTTAAAAAATGATCCAAAAAAGAACACCTGTATTACACAAGGTCCAGGGAAGGGTGGCGGGAGTTCTGAAGGAGGAGAACTGGCCTAATCCCGGAGAAAGAGAAGTGATGAAAGCACGGGAGCGGGAGAAATGAGAAAGACAAGAGAAGAGATTTGTAGAGGAGATAACAAGAATAGTGTTTATGGTTAAGAATGTTACAAGGAATTTCCATGCCAGATGAGTTTTAAGGAAATTGGGGAGAAAAACTGTGGAAGACATACGAGGTGCAATCAAAAAAGATTTTGGTATTTCATTGATCGCAACTTGTACAAATCTCCCAAAACTACATTATTTGTGACTTCCAAACAATTAAAAAAAGTATGTAGTTAAAATTAGCTAACATGCACATGCTGTCTGACCACACGACACTTCATACTACAAAAAATTATTGAACTACATCTCAAAAAACCTTTAGTTTTAGAAAAAGTTTGGAATTATACAACTCACCGGTACTCTGGATAAGGGCGTTTTGGATGGAGTGGTCTGGCCTAATGAGACAGGGATGACTACAGAAAATGCAGAAAGCCACATTAAATAAAAAGAAGAAAAGATTAACCACCACTAAGTAAAAAAGATTAAAATATTCCTACTAGACTGTGCAGGGGTGAAGACAGGCGTCCCAGGGCCCTGGATTGGAGCAGGGGATCCCAGTGATCCCAGCGCCAGGCTGGAAGGGGGTTGAGGAGGAATGGCTGACTGGCTGGAGCCAGATGCTGCGACAGACGTGGTGGAGGTGGAGCAAGGGCCTACTGGTGACGAGGTACCTGCCACAGCAGCCAGATCAGCAGCTATGATGTCTCCCTGGGTGGAAGGCACCCCGCCTCCGAGGTCCATGAAGAGAGAGCGCAGCTTCATTTCCAGAGCTTGGATGTCGTCTGGTTTGCACTGCGACTCAGAGGAGTGCTCACATCTGAAGGAGATCGGTGACAACAAGTCTCAGAAATAATCAGTATTTATGGGTAAATAAGCTAATAAGTAAGTAAGAATTCAAGAACTTTTCCACACAAAATATAGTCTAAAATTGACTATGTATATATATATATATATTAGGGGTGCAACGATACTCGTATCGATATTGAACCGTTCGATACAGTGCTTTCGGTTCGGTACGCATATGTATCGAACAATACAACATTTTTAATTTATTTTATCAACTTT